TCAGGCTCAGGCTCAGGCTCAGGCCGACCGCGCGGCGGGCAAGCGCGCGGCCAAGGCCCAACGCAAGGCCCGGGCGAAGGGCGGCGAGGCGTCGGCGCGCCGACGCCGGCCGGCCTGGCGCTCGCCGCTGACGCGGCGCATCCTGGCACTCAACATGCTGGTGCTGCTGATCCCGATCCTCGGGCTGCTGCACCTCGACCAGTACCGCCAGTCGCTGATCGACTCCGAGCTGAAGGCGCTGCAGGTCCAGGCCGAGACCTTCGCCCTGGCGCTCGGCTCGGCCGCCGTGGCCGACACGGACAGCGGCGAGCAGCGCCTGATGGAAGACGCCACCCGCCAGACGGTGCGGCTGCTGCTGGCCGGGACTTCGCTGCGCGCGCGGGTGTTCGACCGGGCCGGGGCGCTGCAGGCCGACTCCTTCCTGCTGATGGGCCCGGGCGGCCAGGTGAAGGTCACCGAGCTGCCGCCGCTGGAGACCGGCAACCCGCTGGTGCGCTGGATCGGCGAGCTCTACGACGCGGTGGTCAACGGCCTGCCCGGCTACCACGGCTTGCCACGCTACCGCGAGCCGCCCAACCAGAGCGCCCAGGACTACGCCGAGGCGCTGGCCGCCCTGGCCGGCGAGTCCCAAGGCCGCGTGCGGGTCGACAGCGAGGGACGCATGGTGCTCTCCCTGGCGGTGCCGGTGCAGCGCTACCGCCAGGTGCTCGGTGCGCTGATGATCACCAAGGACGGCGCCGGCGTCGAGCAGGCGGTGCGCGACCGGCGCCACGACGTGCTGCTGGTCTTCGGCGTGGCGTTGGCGGTCACCGTGCTGCTCTCGCTCTACCTGGCGCGCACCATCGCGCTGCCGATCCGCCGTCTGGCGGAGGCGGCCGACCGGGTGCGCGGCGGCAGCAGCGGCGGCGCGCGCGGCCGGGGGCAGCGCAGCTTCATGACCAGCCTCAGCCGACGCCACGACGAGATCGGCGACCTGGCCCAGGCGCTGCAGCAGATGACCGACGCCCTGAACGCGCGCATGCAGGCGATCGAGGCCTTCGCCGCCGACGTGGCGCACGAGATCAAGAACCCGCTGACCAGCCTGCGCAGCGCGGTGGAGACGGCGGCGCGCATCGAGGACGCCGGCCAGCAGAAGAAGCTGATGTCGATCATCGTCGACGACGTGCAGCGGCT